TCTCTTAGCTTTTTTTGCTGGGCCCAGTCATATATATGCAAAATTTCTCTTATAGTAGCTATTAAGTGGAAATCCTTTGTGTCTAGGTATGATTCGATTTTCTTATCTTTTTTAAGAATTGTTGCATTTTGCTTGTTATACAGTAGTGAACTTTCCTTCTCATTTTTGTTAAAAATTTTTTAAATTCTTTCAAAGCAGGCATTTTACATGTTTTGTTTTGTTTGTTGTTATATACGCATATATGTTTGTTGTTTTGTTTTGTTGTTGTTGTTTTATTATCTATACAGCTTACTAATCTGTTTGTTTTACTTTGTTTATTCGTTTATTCCCTTTTTGTATTAGTTTGTTTTGTTGTGGGAGTGATCTGCGCAATAGGGTATAGGCAAATTTTCCAAAAGTATGGAGAAAAGTTTTTAACATTTTTTGCAAAGTGAGAAAAAAATTAAAATTCTTCAAGAATGTATATTTCTAAGTTTGTGTTGAGCCAAGCTGTTTTAAGAAACTTTGGTTGTTTTTCTTGCCCGAACTTTTCCTTTAAGGCTGTTTTGGGTGTTTGCTTAGTACCAAGGTGTTCTAAATCTGGATTTTCTTTAGCTTTAGTTTTGGGCACAGTGATCATCAGGAAGAGTTCATTAGTTATCAAAAAATTTCATTTTATTATTGATATTCTAGACTTTAATTAACTAAATTATATAATATAATTGATATTGAAGCAATTAAAAATAATGTTCATATAATTTCAAGATTTGTTAAAATTAATAATCATTTAGTAAATAAATATATATTTTAATATAGATTAATTCAGAAATATATTAATAATTTAAAATAAAGTATATTTATATATTGCAGATGCAGTTTTAGTGTATCATAGTTAGAGATTAAAATGTTAGTAATTGTGCAATGATGATCGTAATAGGGGTTAATCGTGCAGAAAGTAAACAAATATAAAAATAAAAAACAAACAATAAACTTCTTTTAGTTAAAATAACCCCTATGCATATATATACATAAAAGTCAAGTCAACAAAGATTTTTCAAAGCAAATAAAAAAGAAAGTTGCTAAATTATTACTTGTTTGAAAAGCATATACAAAATACAAACCTTTATTTTTATATCGCCATTTGTCAACTGCTTTCCTTATTACCAAATATATGATAACTGTTTGAATAACAAATATATTTCTTTATTTATTTCTTTATTTAATATTTTTAAAATCTGTCTTTCAATTATAAAATCATTATTAGTTGTATTGTAAAACAAATTGTGATGATCATTGAAGGTGGATTTATAGAATATAGACCTATGAAAAGTGAATCAGAAGAAAGTGTTATTGAAGACAAACTTGTGGTAAACAAAAATATGAAAGAAATAACTGTGAAAAGTAAAATTATGGGGTACAAAACCATGGAATATGAATTTGTAGAAGATAAAACCATGAAAACTGTGAAGAATAAAACTATAAAAGTTGAGTATATGAAAATTCAAAAAATGAACCTGTAGAAGACGAATTTATAGAAGTTGATGAAGGTTAGTAGTTTAAGGTATTAGTACTGTGATAAGTAATATAAATTTAATTTTTTTTTTTCTTTAAGGCTTTGGAAATGAAGACGAAATTAGTACATCTATTTATGAGCAGAAGTTAGAATGTTAAGATCTTAGGATGTGTTCTTTAAATCAACCCATAGAGATATTTGTTAAAATGTGTTTTGATTCTTGGTCTAGCACAGAAAATTACTTAAAAGAATATAGACAGCAAAAAGAATTTGTAGTGAATCGTTATAGAGTTGAATTTCATAAATTTCAATCTAACGAGTCAGGTAAACGTGTGGCTAAAAAAAGAACATATGTATATGAGAATGCTAGAAAGTATAAGCCTAGCAAAAGCAAGCCAATTGAAGAGCAGCATAATAAAGGATCAAAGAAAACCAATTATAAATGGCATATTAACTTAAGTAAACCAGAAGATAGTAGTTTTGTGCATGTAACTTTATATGTCTTAATCATAATCATGAAATTAATATTGATGTTGTGAAATTCACTATAGCATTTTGAAAATTTGATGAATCTGTAATGAGTAAAATTGAACGTATGGTTATATACAGGCATTATGATGCACATATGATAAGAAATTTGTTGGAACTCTTGTTCTTCAACAAATTTTTCTTATCCGAGATTTGTTAAATGCAATCCAGAAAATTAAATATGAAAAAAAAGTTGCTGGTTCTGATACATCTCACTTATTGAAAGTTCTACTTAAATAACAAAAAGATGATCCTGCAATGTTTGTTCAGCCTTTAATAAATGCTGATAGTAATTGACTATGCAGTTTTTTTTGAATAATAGCAAATTAGATTCTATTTTGGGCTAGGTATTCTGATATCATTTTATATGATAATACTTCAAGAACAAATAAGTATAACTTTTCTTTATCATTATTTATTCTTGTTGATAATGATGATAAATCACAGTTGGGTATACAAGCTTTTTTAAATAATGAAACTCAAGAAAGCTATAAATGGATTTTGCAGCAAACTTTAGATACTACTAACTCTGAACCACAAGTCATAATGACTGATATAGACCCTGCAATAGATGTGGCAAATCAAGTTGTATATAAAACTTCATATCATGTTTATTGTATAAGTTATCTATCTCAAAATTTGCCTAAATAGCTTAAATCCAAGCTTGGAAATGCAAATTATAAGGAATTTATTTTGAACTTTTAGAAAGCACAAAATTCATTATACATTGACGTTTTTGAATCACGATTTCAATTGTTATTAAACAAATATTCTAATGCTAGCAAATATTTAAATAATACTATCTATTCATCTTGACAATTATGGGCCAAGTCATTTATAAGTCAAATATTTACAGCAGAAATGCAATCTATGCAGCGTATAGAATTCATTAATGCTATTATACATAAAGCAGTTTTATCTAGTTTTAGTATGTCAGAAGTGGCTGAGGCTTTAGAACTCCATATACAAAAGGAGACATTAAATAAAAGTTTTATTGAATGGAAACACAAATTAATAAGACATCAGCAATCAACTATTGTGGAGAGATTCTTTTGCAAAGTTAATAATAAAATTTAAAAATACTTTACATCATGAATTTCGAGAAGATTCATAAGCAAATGAGTGAATCAGTGTTTTATAAATATAAAAAATTAGATATTAATTATGCTTTTATATTTGATGATCAATTAAATCAAAGTGAATATAAATTGAATAATAATCAAATAGTAAGTTTTTTATTTTTATATTTAAGTGCTATAAAGCTAAAATATACAAATATTATAAGATTACATATTTTAGCTTTGTAGCACTCATTTATATATTGAATATATTTGATTACAGATATGATTATTTAATATATTTATAGTAGAATCAAGATAACCAAGAAGTAGAAAGTATTATAATTTTTGACAAACATATTTAAAAGCACTTTTAAATTCAGTTTCAAGAAAGTCAATTAAGAAAGTCTGAAAAGTTATTCCATATATGGAATTAAATTCATACCAACATATTGTAATGCTTAATAATAGTACTTATTTGTACATATGTTTATTATTAGTTTTACACAGAATTATTTGCTGTTATTATTTTAAATTGATAGTTAAAAATTTGAATGCTTTATTTCATATAATGTTAATGCTAGTAAGATGGTTATATAACAATGCTTAGAAACAAATTGATACTATCTCATATCATTACAGAAATGTCAAGATGAGGATAATATACAAAATCTTATTCTCAATCATTATTATAATGTTCAAGAAGTTTAGATTCGACACCATCTGCAAAAAAAAATAGATTATGGTTGCATTATGAGTCATTTTAAGAAGGCATTAAATTACTTATTAGAAGACAATGGTCAAAGTAATTTGGACAAACTCATATTATCTTATATTACTAAAAAGGAGGAAATGAGAGATACTCGAATTCAGCAAATGTCTATTGAAGAAAATCAAGCTTCAGAGAGTTTCAAGGTATCAGATAAGCATATTTACAATATTGATGATATAGAAGATCTAGTAGCATATAAAGGTAAAGGTAGACCTCCAAATAAAAGATTGAAAGCCTTTGATGAAGATACAAATAGAGAAAGTAGTAAGTCACAATTAGTTAATGATATTGATAGTGATGATGGTGAAATTAGTACAAGTAAACATAAGTGTAAATTGTGCTATAAAAAGATTATTATGCTCCTACATGCCCTAATAAGGAAAATAAGCAAATGTAGTTAAGTATGTGTGTATATATATAGTGATATGTAGTATTAATAATAATATTTAGAAAGGAATTTCTGTTTATTATATGTATATATATGTGGTTGACTATATTTAGAATTTGGGTCTAGATCAAAATACTATAGAAGAAATTAATAATTGATAATAGCAATAGTAGTTCTACTTTACAACTTACATATAATTAAAGCTTGTACTATAACAAGCTTGTGCTTATAACAATAATATTCTTACTATTTATTTTTCCTAATTACTCATTTACTTATTATGTTATATTTATTTGTAATTTATAAACCTTAAATGATTAGAAGATGCACTATGCATTTATTGTGATCTTATATAGTATATATATATATATATATATACAGAATGTATCTACTTACTTAATATATTTTTCTGTTTTATTTTTTAAAGATTCAATTTTTGCTTTGTTTGGTTAATACTAAGTTGCTAAGTAAATAAATAGATAGATATATATATAAAAGCTATGCGTACAACATTCACGGAACTTATATACATAACATTGGATTAGAGTTAATATTAGAATAGGAGTATATATATTATAGTAATGCAGATTATTATTATGCATATAAACACATATATGCTATATCACTATAAAAATAGTTTATCACATGATCGGATAATCAGTTATTTTGATATTCATGTGATATATATTAGGGTGATATATAATATATAGCACTCCCTGCAGTAAATAAATATACTCTTTAAAATATTTTAATTTTGCTATATTAATAAAAACTAATAAAAATTTGAAAGAGTTTTCAGAAAATATAAGATATTTCAAAATATTTTATAGTATTAAAAAATATTTTAAAAGATTTCAAGCTATATCACAAGTGTTGATTTTATTATAAAATTATTAATTAATTAGTAATCTTTTGTAAACTTTCATATGATTATGAAAAAAAAATATAAATCAAAATAATTCGTCATTTATAATTTATTTTTTATTTTTATTTTTTTTTTAAGAGAGGTCTTTCCTCTATTCCTTTATTTCAAAATATATAATTGAATACAACT